ATTACTATTACTATTATTATTTGAGATGGGACCTTGCTGTGTTGCCTGAGCTGGCCCTGAATTCCTAGAGTCAAGGAGTCCTCCCACCTCCTCAGTAGCTGGGCCTATAGGCCTATGCACCATGCCTGACAAACCTTTGTTTTTGTTTGTACATTTCATTGTACTTTTAATTGAAAAGGAAAGCACTCAGCTGCCCCTTCACTGCCTCACACCACCTGCCACTTGGTGTCCTGGTGGTCAGCTCAAAGGCACATGAGCACAAGCAAGGCTGCGTAGCTTTGGCAGAGTCTGTGAGGAGTTCCATGCTGGGTGGGGGGGTTAGCTTAGTGAATGAGGGCCTTCCCGCCTGAGAATTGTGAGTTAAAATTGTATCCAACACAAGCTTGCAATGGCAAATTTATATCAAAGATAGTCATGTTTCTGCTTGTGAAAACATAGCTTCATTTAACAAACATGAAGTGCGTCATAGTGTACTGAGTGTTGTGTAAGACTACCACAAAGAGCCGTGAGAGGGCTGGCTCCATGCTGAATGTCATCGTCCTTTGGTTGTAATTACCTTTGCTGTAGAGCTGCCGCCGCTGCATCTCTGGTTACTTATGCTAGGGATGTCATCATGCCTTCCTTTGTCTCCAGCTTTGTCCTGCCAAGAAGTCACTGAGGATGAGGTCTTAGATGCAAGCTGCCTGCTGGATGTCCTGAGAATGTACAGATGGCAGATTTCCTCCTTTGAAGAGCAGGTGAGCATTCCGGGCCACAGCTGGAGCTTGGAGAACCCTCTTCCTTAGCCGCCAGGGTATGTGTGTACATGTGCATGCGTGTGTGTGTGCATATGTGTGTATACATGTGTCTATGTATATTGTGTATATGCATGTATAAATGTGTGTATGTATATGTATGTGTGGATATGGATGTGTGTGTATGGTGTATACATGTGTGTATATATACATATATATGCATGTTTCTGTATATGTGTGTATGTATGTGGGAGTGTGTATATGTGTATGTGTGCCCGTGTGTGCATTCATGTATGTATATTTATTTGTGTACTACATGTGTATACATATATACGTGTGTGTATGTATATGTCTATCTCTATGTGGATATATGTGTGAATGTGGATGTGTATGTGTGGTGTGTACACACACATATATGCATGTGTGTCTCTGTGTCTGTGTGTATGTATATGTATTTGGGGAGTGTACATGTGTATATGTATGTGTGTATGTGTGGACATATATGTGTATGGTGTGTACATGTACATTTATGTATATGCGTATGTCTCTGTGTATGTGTGTGAGGTATGTATGTGTCTGTATGTGTCTGTGTGTGCTAGGGCTGGAGCCCAGTGCCTTGAATGTTTTAGCAAGTGCTCTACTACTGAGTTACATCCCCTGCATTTTAGACAGACTTGGTGTTCTGGGACCAGAGCACCCACTCTGGCTGCTGTCCTGAGGACACAGAGCTCATGTCACTTACTGGATGGCGGGCTGGCAGATGCGGCCTAAGTGGCTGCCAAAGGAGACTCTCCACTTTCCATTGATTTTGCACTCAGCTTCTGATGGAGGCACTTGGCAACTTCAGAAAGAGGTAGAGGCCCCACCCTGGAGGCCCAGAGGTTCTGGTGGGACCCTCTTTTGGCTCACACTCTTGTTTTAAAGGAACCAGCTTCAGAGGTGGCCTAAAGTGTCCCCAGACCTGGAGCAGATGTCCTTTACAACCCCAGTGCCTTATCACAGCACTCACCCTCCCCTTCTGCTGCTTCACTGTGGTCTTTGGAACCTGGTACACCTTCCTCTCCTGACTAGTTAGCCACAGCTTCTCTAAGGCCTAGGCCAGTAAAATACCAGCTTTCTTGCTATTCTGGAGCCTCATCCTCAGCATCTCCAAGGTGGTCCTGTCCCACACTGTGTAGCCATGTGTGCTGCCACCATGCAAACAATGGATCTGATAAAGGTGAGGCAGCCCTTCAGGCCCTCCACACTGAAGCTGGAAGGGGAGAGATTGTGAAAACATAGAAAGGAGGTTAGGGGGCTCCTGCCGTCTTGAAGATCACCTCTTGTTCCCTTCCTAGTCTGAAGCCTTGTGTTCTTTTCCCACACAAAGTGGGTGATGTCTGTACTTTTTTAAAAATGCATCTTGATGAATCTAGTTGTGTGCTAAAGTATTTTTCCATTTTCATTTGGAAACAATCCTCCTTCAGGGAGTAGAATTAACTGTCTTTTACATCTGTCTCAGCTGAGAGAATGGCCCTGAGGTCAGTGCCCAAGGAATCGGGTAACTATTGTGAGTCCCACCCTTCCATCAAGGTCCTACCTGAGCCAAGGCACTCCTTAGGAGTGTTTCCTGCAATGTCAGTGCACAGTAGGTGCTGGGCCAAGTAGTGCTGCAGTGTGCAGAGAAGGTGAGTGTGTCTGAGTGCTGCTCTCCTGCTCTATGAAGGCATCTGCTATGGGCCTTGTCCACGTCTGCATCATCCAGCAATCCAGGCAGACCACAGCCAACACACATTGATGGGCATACCCATTTTCTGTGTCTAAACCTAGTGCTACAGGAAATGCACTGAGTTAAGTCCTTCTTCACAGGAGCTACCTGACTCAGTCCCCAGGACAACCCTATAAGGAGTCACAGTTAGAATGTCCATGTTACTGATGGGACAAAGGCTCAGAGAAGCAAAGTGACTTGCCCAGTCACCAGCTGCTTCAGTGGTAGAGCCAGGATTGAGATGGTCTAGCACTGAAGTGCACACTCAGGCTCCATCCTCTTCTGCAGTCCTGCCCCTTTCCTCAAGACCCAAGTAGCTCCCTGACTGACTTGTACAGAGGCCACCTGAACTTACAGAAGGAGCCAGATCTCAGCAGATTCTCCTTCCAGCTCCAGCTCTTAGCTTAGCTGTGCTTGTGTAGCTGGCTAGTGCTAGGCTTCCACATCTGCCCCTGGATAGCGAATCCCTCTGGGCAAGAGCATGCCTTACTTATCTTTGATACTCTAACACCCTCTTGCTGGCTGCAAGCAGTAGCCCAGAAAAGGATTCACTGACATATAAAACAGATACTCACTGAGCATCTGCCCCAAGTGTGACTTGCTGAGTCCAGCTCAGAATTCCCAGTGGTGGAAGGAGAGAGGTGCAGATAATAAACAGGTAATTTCAAGATGACAAGAACGTAAGTAGGTGAGAAAGCAAGTAGGGCAGGGATGGGGATGTAGCTCAGTGGTAGAGTGCTTACCTAGCATGCACAAGGCCCCTGGGTTCTATCACCCACCCAAGAAAGGGGGGGTGCAGACAGATCATGAAGTTGGGGACACGAGGGAGAAAAGAGATGAAGGAAGGGACTGCTGTAGATGGCAAGGCTCTTCTGCAGTGTGAGGTTTCAGCTGACACCTGAGGATAAATAAGAATGAGGCTGGTAGAGACCTGAATGCAGAGGATTCAGGACAGAGGAGCAGCCAGCCAAGCCTGGAGATGGGAGGGGTATAGAGGAAAGGGACTGGTGGTGGCTGAAGTTGCTGGGGAGAAGCCTGAGAAGCTGTGGCTAGAGCTTTTATTCTGTATGCAGTGGGGAGCCACAGAGGGTTTTGAATAGTGCACTGGTGAGAGAGTTCAAGTGTAGTACATGCAGCTTAGTATAAAGCTGTCTCAAAAGTCAAAAGGAGGAGCCAGAGAGGTGGCTCAGCAGTTGAGAGTGCTGGTTGTTCTTATAGGAACCACAGTTCCATTCCCAGTACCTAGAGATGGCTAATAACCATCTATAACTCCAGTTCCAGGGCACCTGGTGCCCTCTTCTAACCTCTGTGGGCATTGTACACGAGTGCACTTACATGCATGCAGATGAAACACTCATACACATAAAATAAAAAAATAAAAATAAGTAGATAAAAATTTTAAGTAAAAGACAGATTGGATATATAGCCCAAGGCTCTAAGTTCAATCCCAGTACTACAAATTAAAATTTTTTTATTCATTTTTTAATTTTATGTGTATGAGTATACTGCCTGCATGTATATAAGTGCATCTGTGTCGTGCAGTGTCCATGGAGGTCAGTAGAGGGTGTTGGATCTCCTGGAACTAAGTTGTTAGCTACTATGTGGGTGTTTGGAGCCAAGCACAGGCCCTCTGCAAGAGCAGCCAGTGCTTTTACCACCGAGCCATCTCTCAGCCCCTACAAAGTAAATTTTACGAGTAATGAAACAAGCAGTGGTTTGCTCTGATTTAGGCATGGAAGGAAAGTAATGTTGGGACAGAATTGGAAGGTGAGGGAAGGTAGAGGCTGCTCCAGGTCCCCAGCCCGTGATGGCATGCTCAGACAGGGCTTAGGCAGGGGGCTGGAGAGGCCTCAGAAGTTAGGGCTTATTTTAGAGCTGAAGCCTTAAGGATTGCTACTGGCCTGACTTGAGTGACCAATGGGTAAGGGGAACACAGGTAACTGGATTCATCAAGGAGGGTCCCTATAAGCAGGGGTGTTTCAGGGAGTCCTGGAGGATGGAAAGGGGACAGCCATGTGGAGATCCGGACAGCCAAGCTTGAGATCAGCATAGGCACGGTGTGCTGCAGGACCTCAGAAGAAGCTAGAGCTAGAGCCTGTCTGAAGGGGAGTTCTTGGAGACAGGCCTTCCTTCCTGCTCTGGAAGGCTTTGCAGGCAGCTCAGGAGGGTGGCTTTTCTCTGGCAGAGATAACCACCTGGAGGCAGGAAGTAAAAAAGTAAAACCATGTTCTCAGAAGCTCACCCAGAAGGCTGGGTGGAGTTCAGTGGCCCAGAGCCTACCCAGCACACTCAAGGTCCTGGGTTCAGTCTCCAGTAGCTACAAACCAAACCAAAATAAAACATAAAAGATCACTCTGATCACTGCTGGCCCTTAGGGTAAGATCAAGTGTAGTTTTGAAAAATCACCTTGGGACTAGAGAGATGGCTCAGCAATTAAGAGCACTGGCTGCTCTTGCAGAGGACCTGGGTTTTATTCCCAGCACCCACACTGTTGCCAGCAACCATCCATAACTCCAGTTCCAGGAGAATCCGACACCCTCTTCTGTCCTCCACAGACACTGCATGACACGGGTGTACTTACATACATGTAGGCAGTACATGTATACACATAAAAATAATTTTAAAAAACACCCTGGTGCCCACATATAGTGAGACCAAGGGCTGGTGCTAAAGGCCTGGGTCTCAGAGTCTGAGGGACAGAGGCATGGGGGGAGGGACTGAGGCAGGCAGAGAGCAGTGTGGGAGCTGTGGTTTTGGAGGGAAGGGACTTTTGAGGTGATCTTTAGGCTCTCCTATAGGATCCAGCAGTGCCACTTCTGGGTATAAACCAAGCAGTCATGAGCGGGAGCACAGGCAGGTATTTGTACATTCATGTACTTAGCAGAATTCCTTGCAAAAGTGAGCAGACAGGAGCAACCCAATGTCTACCAGTGGATGGACAGATGAACAAAAGTCTTTTCCCTTGGTGATTGAACCCAGTGTTTTACCTGCTCTACCACAAGCTACATCCTAAGCCAAACAAAAATTTTATACAGCAAAATACAGTCAGCCTTCAAGGGCCTGGAATTTGACACATGCTAGAACCTGGATAAACCTTCAGGGCATTGTGCTCAATGAAACACGTGTGTACACTGTATACATTGGGTCACAGTAGAACAGACATGGTGGTTATGATCCCATTTATGCATCATCAAATTTCTAAAGGCACAAGGTAGATGGTAGTTGAATGGTGGTTGTGGTAGGGGGAAGATTACTGTTTAGTGGGTATGGAGTTTCAGCTTGGGAAGATGGAAATTTTACGGGTGGATGGTGGCAGTAACACAGTATGAGTGTGTTTCATGTCACTGAGAAAACATTATGGTGTTAAGGTTTGTGTTACGTGCACTTTGCCACAATTTTTAAGCAAAGGGCTCCTTGGGAGCTGGGTGCTGTGGGGATTGTGGGTCAGGGCTGTCAGCAAACCTGAGCCTGCTGGCGTGAAGGCTATTGCCCTGCTTGCTTGCTTGCTTGCTTGCTCCTTGTGGGGTTGAGTTGAAGGTGAGAGTGTGAACTTGAGAACATGTGTAGGACATGACAGTTCTCTTTGGTGAGCAGGACTCTGAGAAGGCAGGAAGCAGATTGTACCCTGGGAAGGGTGGGATTTGATTTCTGGTCCACTTGGCTGGGGTTCTGATCCCGTACTTATCTTATGAGCCTCTCTGAAGAATGCTTTGCCCACTGTCAGGATGCTCACGAATTATTCCACGTCATCACCTCGTCCCTAGAGGATGAACGAGACCGCCAGCCACGGGTCACTCATTTGTTTGATGTGCATTCCCTGGAGGTAAGAATGTTTTCATGGCTGTCTTGCAGATCCAGTGGTGTTGGATGCATGAATAGATCTTTATATGTCCTTACACACAAAGCTAAGATTCAGTAACAGAAGGACATGAGGCTGGGGTGGGGTGGGGCTTAAACTGGTATTCAGCAGGGATGTCAGGCCAGTTAGGATGATTCATTGCTGCAATCTGAGTTGACTTTGAAAAGAAAGAATATAGTATTTTTCCCTCTTAGTAGAGAAAAGTGAGGGGCCATAGAATCCCTGTTCTCATCTCCCTGTAACAATGTAATTCTTGGGGAGGTGATAGAAGTTGACCAGCACAGAAGGAAAGTATCCTGAAGAGAAGAAATGTTTCTATTAAACTCCTTAGAGTAATGTGCAAGGGAACACCAGGATGCTAGTTAAGGCTGCTTTGAGAAAGGTGGGCTGCCTTGTTGTGGTTGAGTGGTGCAGTGGGACCTGAAACTGTAAGATTCCTGGGGGCAAAAAAAAAAACCACCAAAAACCACACAGTGAAAAGGATTGTACCTGGGTTTTCTCATTTTCCTCTACAGCAGCAATCAGAGATAACTCCCAAACAAGTGACCTGCCATACAAGAGGTAGGTGCTTCCATTGAAAACATGTATTTTCAACAAAATTTCTAAAAAGTTTACTTTTTAGGGGCTGGAGAGATGGCTCAGTGGTGAGGAGCAGTGACTGCTCTTCTAGAGGACCCGAGTGAGTCCCGGTACCTACTTGGTGGCTAGCAACGATCCGTAGCTCCATTCGAGGGGATCTGCACCCTCTTTTTACCTCTGTGAACATTGCACAGCATGGGTGCACTTACGTACATGCAAGCAATACACTCATACACATAAAATAAGTAAAAAAAAAAATTAAATAAATACCCCCCAAAATGTTTACTTTTTAGATGTGACAGTAATTTGCTTGTTTTTCTGGTGACATGCAGGACAGCTCTGGCTGTGTTGAATTCAGTGCATTCCCAAAGGCACTTGTGTTCTGGAGGTAGCTTGCAGGAGTATCTCTTAGTCCCTCAACCCCCACCCCTGCTGAGGATCCTCTGACCATTTCCTCTTGCTGCAAACAAGGGCTTTTTGTCTCCTTAGATGTTATATCTTGGGGAGACGTCAATAATTGTTCTTTCCTCAGTATTTCTATTTGGCCAGCTTTTATTGCGAATTATTACAGTTTTCTTTAGAAATCCTTGCTTTCTCAAGACTTGAAAAGTAAAATTGATGCAATTCCTTTGGGCACTAGTAGTAGAAACAGGGATTAGAGTTTCTCATCTGAGCCTCACAAGCAACTCTGTGAGGTGAATACAGGGGCAATGGGGTAATAATTAACCGTTTCTACCGAATGAGACTTACAGAAGCGAAGTATAGTGGCTCATGCTTGTAATCCCTGTGCTTGAGAGACTGAGGCAGGAGGATTAATTTGTCTTTGAGGCCAGCCTGGGCTACATAGTGAGTTCCAGGTCAGCCTGGGCTATAGAGTAAAACCAAGTTTCCCTATATTCAAAAAAGGGGGAGGTGCAGAGGAGAGAGACAGAGACTTACAGCGATGAAGTGACTTTTTGGGTAACACAGCTAATAAGAAACAGAACCAGGGCTGAGCCCAGGGCTGCCCAGTTCCACAGCAGTGTTTCACACTAACACTTTGTCCACTAACCCCTATCCTAGACAAGGAAAATCCCAGATTTTAGAACTTTATTTGGATCATTTCAGAAGCCTCTTTGACTTCAGAACTCTCCTGAGTGCCTCTTCCTTCGGACCTCTCTAATGTTAAGCCTATGTTTGTTGAATATTATAGAACACAAATCCTTTTTAAGTGTGGCTATTTCCATTCTGTACAAGCCATATGTAAAGTCCTTAGCTCTCCTATGAGCATGGAAGTATGTATGGTGGAGGTCAGTGAAGAAAGCTCTTTCTTTGTCTTTTGCAAGAACATTTTTTTTCTAAAGAGGGAGTTTCTCCCCTGTGCTAAAAACAAAGGTGAATTTTGAGTTGGTCCTGAGGGCTGACATGGCATATCAAAAGATGCTTTGCATTTCAGGGTCTCCTCACCCCACATCCAATCACTGGAAGTCTCAACATCCTTTCCATGGACGACTTACTAGCAACATGGTCTGCAAACACTGTGAACACCAGGTGAGTCGCTGCCTACCCTTTACATTCCTGGGAAACACTGCTTTAAGTAAGGATGCAAAAAAGGACTGCGAGGGTGTGGATTGGCCTCAGTGATGACCGTGGTGATTGCCTGTGCTCTGCACATGGTGGACTGACTGCCTTGTTTGCTCAGTGCCAGCGTGTCTGTCATTCAACCCTCAGATGGCATCTGCTCCAGAATTGCAGGCTTTTGATGTAAACTTGAGTTCTGCTTGCAGTGGACAAAGAAGATTTAGAGCTTGGGGTTCTTTTGCTTTGCCTTTGAGATTTCAAAATAATTTTTATTATGGGAAAATTTCAATATAATACAAAGAAATTTTTACAACTGACACATCAATCAATTTTAGGACCCCACCCCACCCCCCAAAAAATCCCCATATCCATCAACACTCCCAACACCTGATGGCCACTAATCTACCCTCTATCCCGGTGGATTTGTTTAGTCTGGACTTTTCCTGTAAGTGGATTCAGCTGCCTTCTGTCAGTTAGTGTGCTTTTAGGTTGCGTGACTCACTACTGCTTCTGTTTGAGCTGCTCCATTGCATGGCTCTGTCTTCTCAGTGTAGCGGCATTTGGATTATTTCCACTTTAGGCAGTTTTGTGCACAAATTTTTGTGTGACCATACTTTTTTTGTTTTGTTTTGTTTTTAATAATTTACTGAGAATTTCATACAGGCATAGAAGCATAGAAGCATAGAAATCCATGCCCACTCCCTCCCCTCCAACTCCTCCCATATCTCCCCATCACTTTTTTCTGGTAACTTCATTTACTTTTTCTTCCTTTTTTTTTTTTTAAATGGGGCTTTTTGCTACTCTAACATTACCCCCTCTAAAGAGGTGACCCTAAAATTTTTCAGGGATTACATAAGAGCTCCCAAATACTTTTGACATTTTTGGCCTCTGGAACACAATATATTATTAAGAAAGCCCAAGGACATTTTGACCTTTAGCCAAGAAACTGGCTACTTTTCTTTGGGGACTTTTTATACTAACTGCCCAGCCAATTCCTACCTCCTATTCTTATCACATCATCCTCTGAAGAGGGTTACCCAGCTTGCAGATAGGGAATCAGGATGTAGACCGCTCTGGCTTCTTCCATGATAAACAGGGACGCAGGGTGAGGCAATTGGGGCACCCCTTTAGTGGATCTATCTAAAAGACTCCCAAATTGAATAACTCTTATCTGTAGAGGGAAAAGAAAGTCCTTGACTGGTGAATAGAAGTAAAGGCAAGAGTAATTAGCATTACAAGTTCTAGACAGGGAACTAGAAAAAGGTCAGAACAGGGCAAATTTCAAATGTTCATATGCTAGTCCATTGGAATTTATGACGAGAGCTTCCAAAAGCATCCCTCTATTGGGTTCCTCCTCATTTTTCTTTTGTCTGCCAAGGCTGCACTCCAGAATGATGGATTCAGGGTTTGCTTTCAGGCATTTTGATAGCTGTTGGAGTGGTTAGAATCAGTGTCAGTTCCCTCTCAAAGGCTTCTAGATAAGGGGAGAAAACATATTTGGCCATCATTTTAGAACAATAGTGAGTTGTCTCCCTTAGCTACAAGTGGGCACTACAGTATTGCAGACCAAGATTTGAAGTCTTACACTTTCTGATTCAGAACAAAATCATCAATGAGAAATAATTGTATAAATAACTTTTTATATGGACTTAAGCCTAATGTCTGAGAAGTGTAATCCCTTGAACTCTTAAAGAAATATGCTGATGACTTTACTCTTTGGTTATACTTTCCTTTTGGGTGTTTAAGACCATACAGTTGGCCCAAATAAATCAATTTATTTTTACACTTAAGGTCATTTGAGGATCTGTTCCTCAGGGGTCACATGGGCTTGGGAGGAGCCCTGGCTCCTTTCTTTTACCAGTTCCATCTATGTGAAGTTAAGTCAAAGGTCCTGGTTGACCATGGCTGGCTTCACTTGGAAGCATGGAGGAAATGTTTCCTCTGAGTTGACCCTCCTTTTTGTAGACTGGGAACTGGTTCAAGTCCATCTCATGGGGTCTCCATGGCCTCCCTGAACACGAGAACAGATGACTCACCACAGTCACAGGACATTTTGAGAGATGTTCCATAGTCCCCTGGAACTTAGTCGACCTTGGAGGGCAAGGGGCAAACACTGTCCTTTAAGTCCCTCTGATCAGATTAGTATAGGCCTCAAAGTATGGCTGTTAAACATCCAATAAGGTTAGTTCCACCAGTCTGGTGCTTTTAATTACCATGTGCCATGTAGATAAAACTTGGGTAATAAACCAAACATTCTCAGATAAACCTTGACTAGATAAGTATTTTCTTCCTTAAACTAGTCGACTAAAATATGACCTTAGAAATTTTAAGATTATGTGTATATCATTTTTTCTTTTGGTCTTTTTGAGACAGGGTCTCCCTGTAGCCCCAGCTGTCCTGGAACTCACTATGTAGACCAAGCTGGCCTTGAACTCACAGAGATCCACCTGCCTCTGCCTCCTGAGTGCTGGGATTAAAGGCATGCGCCACCATGCCCGGCAATGTGTATACTATTTTTGTCTCATCCTTTATATAGCATACCAAACCTACACAGACCTTCATCACTTGCTTAGGCTTTCTCATTTTTTTCTATTTTGGAAAATATCTCCATCACCATATCCTTTTAATGTCCTTTACATTCTGGTTTTCTTTTTTAAATAATTATAAGACAATAACATTAACAAATTTTCGATCTGTTCCGAGAATTCTTTTCCTTGGGATACTAAGCAATGCTTATTCCCTTTTAAGGTTCTAGTGTCAAAGCAATGATTGGTTAAAGTTTTACTGGGAAACCAATGAATTTATTGAGCTTACTTAGATAACGGAGGGGTTGCTGAAGTATATGGATGACCTAAGGGTATGCACACTTGAAAAGCCTTTACCCAGCATGGGTCAAGCCTTCTCTTCCTAGCCTTCCCCAGATTGTTTACTTTGGCCCGCCACAAATCTAGGATACCATGTGTGATTAGTGCCAAATTACATACAGTTGGCTTGGAAGAGTGACTGGATACTGCAGTGAGGGTCCAATGACCCTGTGTATCCCTCCTTTAACAATAGAGCACAACTGACAACAAGCCCAATTGTGACGATATTTAGCTATCAGGCATTGCTGAAGTCGTGATGATGGTAGTTATTTCATGCAGAAGAGACTGCTGTACAGCATCATCTTATTAAAAGGACATGCAATTTAAAAGGATTTGGTGCTGGGATCCACCAATGAGGGAGAACATATCTCTTTTATTTTTCTGAGTCTGTGTTACTTCACTTAGTATAACAGTTTCTAAATCCATCCATTTACCTGCAAATTTCATGATTTCATCTTTCTTTACTGCTGAGTAAAACTCCATCATATATATGAACCACATTTTCATTATCCACTCATGAATTGAGGGACACTTAGGTTGCTTCCATCTCTTAGCTATTGTGAAAAGAGCAGCAACAAACATGATTGTACAAGTGTCTCTATAATAGGATGGGTCCTTTAGGTATATGCCAAGGAGTGTTACAACTGGGTCATATGGTAGGTTCATTTTTAGTTTTTTAAGAGTTCTCCACACTGTTTTCCATAGGGGTTGCATGAGTTTGGAATCCCACAAGCAGTGAATTGAGTGTTCCCCTTTCTCCACATCCTCACCAGCATTTGGTATCATTTGTTCTCTTGATCCTAGGCAGTCTGACTGGGGTAAAGTGATACCTTAGGGTGGTTTTAATTTGCATTTCCCTAATTACTAATGATGTTGAACACTTTTTGAGATGTTTCTTAGCCATCTTTATTTCTTCCTTTGAGAACTCCCTGTTAGATCTTTAGCTCATCTTTTAATTGGGTTGTTTGGTTTCTCGATTCTTTGTTTTTTGAGTTCTTTATATATTCTGGATGTTAAACCTTTGTCAAATTTGTTGTTGGAGAAGATTTTTTTCCCACTCTGGGGATTTTCTCTTCACTTTGATTGTTTCTTTTGCTGTACAGAAGCTTTTTAGTTTAATGAGGTCCCACTTGTTGATTACTGACCTTAATTCCTGAGCAATTTCTGTCCGATTTAGAAAATCCTTTCCTACACCTATATCTTGTAAGTTATGCCAGTATTTTCTTCTAATAGTTTCAGAGTTTCTAGTTTTACATTGAGGTCTTTGATACATTTGGAGTTGACTTTTGTGCAAGGTGAAAGATAAGGATCTAGTTTCATTCTTCTACAGGTAGAGATCCAGTTTTGCCAGCACCATTTGTTGAAAATGCTGTCTTTCCTCCATTGTGTGTTCTTGGCACCTTTGTCAAATATCAGGTGGCTGAAATTGCATGTACTTGGGTTGGGTCTTCAATGATGTTCTATTGACCTATATGTCTATTTTTGTGCCAGTACCATGCTGTTTTTATGACTGGAGCTCTGTAGTATACTTTGAGATCTGGTATAGTAATCCCCCCAGCATTGCTCTTTGTGCTCAGGGTTGCTTTGGCTATCCAGGGTCTTTTGTACTTCCATACGAATTTAAGGATGAGTTTTTTCTAATTTTATGAGTATGTCATGGGGATTTTGATTGGGATTGCACTGAATCTGTATATTGCTATGGTCATTTTCTCAATATTGATTCTCCCAATCCATGAGCATGGGAGGTCCTTCCATCTCCTGGTGTCTTCCTCAATCTCTTTCTTTAACCATGTAAAATTTTCATTGTAGAGCTCTTTGGTGTCTTTGGTCAGATTTATTCCAAGATATTATAATTTTTTTGCAGCAATTGTGAATGGGAGCATTTCCCTGTGTGGTCTTTCTCCAATTGCATATTATTGCAATATAGAAAGGCTAATGGTTTTTGTACATTACTTTTGTATCTGGACACTTTACTGAAAGTGTTGATCAGTTCTAGGAGTTTTCTGGTGTAAGTTTGCAATCTCTTGCATATAGTATCATATCATCTGTAAAAAGGGATTATTTGACCTCTTCTTTTCCAAATAGTGCTCCTTTACTTCCCTTCTC